CCCCTTACTCCTTATGCACTCATGACTGTGTGGCCAAATTCAACTGTAACTCCATTACAAATTTAGTGATGACACAACCAAAGTGGATCAAACCTTAAACAACGACAGGATAGAGTACAGGAAAGAGAGAGCTTATCTGGTATTATGTAAAGACCACAATCTCTCCCTCAATGTCAGCAAAATGAAGGACCTGGTCATCAACTTCAGGAAGCAGAGTGGAGGACATTCCTTTGTCTTTATCAACGGTGCTGAGGTGGAGGTGGTCAAGAGCTTCCAAGTTTCTCGGAGTAAATATCACCAACAATCTATCCTGGTCCATCCACGTCAGTGCTACAGTCAAGAAAGCACGCCATCACCTCCACTTCCTTAGGAGGAGGAAATTGGGCATGTCCACAGTAACTGACCAATTTTTATAGATGCACCATAGAAAGCATGCATCACAGCTTGGTACGGCAACTGCACCACCCAAGATTGCAAGAAATTACAACAAGTTGTGAACGCAGCCCAGTCCATCACGAAAACCAGCCTTTCTTCCGTTGACTCCATGCACGCTTCATGCTGCCTCAAGAAAGCAGCCAACATAATCAAATCTTCTTCCACCCCAGTTATGCTCTCTTCCATCAGGCAGAAGATACAAAAGTTTTAAAACACGTAAAAGCAGATTCAAGAACAGCTGCTTCTTGGCTGCTATCAGACTTATGAACAGACCTCTCGTTTATTAGAGTTGCTCTTACTCTGCACCTTCTCTGTAGATGTAACACTATATTCTGCATTCTGTTCTATTAGCCTGATGTACTTGTGTAGGTATGATTTGTCCAGTTAGCACGCAAAACAATATTCTTCATTGTATCCTGGCATATGTGACAATAATAAATCAAACCAAAAGCATGCGACACTAGGGGACACAACACCACTTTACAGTTCAAAAGTTTTAAGAAAAATCCCGTTCTGCACCTTGGCAGAGACTCCTTCTGTCCACCTGCCTACTTGGGTTTCAGCAAGGTAGTTATCATGCCACACAAATGCACATCTGATAGTGCATTTCTTCAATGCACTTATCACAATGGAGGTGAAAGTTGACATAGTTAAGTGATCTGAAAAAGATGAAATGCCGACGAACTTTGGGAGAGAATTAGGCCTTAGCCATTCTCCAGTTAGAACTATTTTTTTTAAAAAACTGCGCATTTTGGAATGTGTGAAAGGCTCGGCTTCAGTGAAAGCTACAGTAATTACTGAGCAAAGAGGTGGATTGATGGTAGAAATGGAAAAACTGTTAATTATTTGGCTTGTGGATAAGAGTTAGCATCACATGCTGATTAGCCTGAAGCTTATTCAAGAAAAGTCAAAAAGCCTGTAAGCAGACTTCAACTTTAAGCGTGGTGCTGAAAGTGATAGTGAAGATTTGCTGTTAGTTGAGGTTGGCTTAATAGATTTAAAAGAAAGGCAAATTGGCACAACATTTAAAATACAAGGGGAAACTGCTCGTGCTGATCTTGATGTAACAAGCTAAAATAATTAAGGAGGGGTGGTGCAGTGCTGAACACGCATTCCATGTTGATGTTCTGGAAGAAGATGCCCAAAGAATGTACATTGTGAATGACGTGAAGGCTATCTCTGCATAAGTCTGCAAAAGCTTGGTTGACCTTGTTTGGTAGTGCTGCTGGTGATTGCAAGCTTAAGCCTCAGCTTGTGTATCAAGCCAAAAACTAAGGGCCTTCAAGGTAAACTGGAAATGCATCATTTCCAGTTGTATGGAAGTCCAATTTAAAAAATGCTTGGGTGACATTGAGCCATTTTGAGGATTGGTTCTGGCATCAATTTGTGCCTGAAGTGGAAAGATGCTATGCCTCCAAGAACCTGTCCTTCATGGCGCCTAGACGTCTGTCATCCCTGGATGAATTTCATCCCAACGTAAGATTGTGTACCTGCCACCCAACACAACCTCCATACATTTGGGAGGCAGTGGCTGAGTGGTATTATTTTTGGACTGTTAATTTGGGGACCGTGGCAATATTCTGGGAATCCAGCTTCAAATTCTATCACAGTGGATGGTGGAATCTGAATTTGATAAAAATAAAAATCTGGAGTTGAGTCTAATGGTAACCATGAAGCCATCATTTCATTCTTAACTGCCATCTGGAATGGGAAATAACTGCTGGCCTAGCCAATGACACCCTCATGAATAAATTAAAAAGCTTCAACCTATGGATCAGGGTGTCATTGCGCCTTTTAAAGGCATGTTACCCATTTTCCTAAGCTATTAAGACACCTGACACCAAACATTGCACAGGCATGATAAGAGTTGAATCAAACCAGTAATGGTGTCTGGAAAAAAATCTTTTCCTTCCGTTTATTAAGGCCTCCATGATTTTGAAGAAACTATTGAGGCACTGATGGAGAAAATGATGGACCTTGAGCTCTATTGGAGTTACTTGACTCCCATTCACTAGACCTGAGTAATGAGGACCTCATGGGACTCGAGCACCACGTGATTTTAGCTGAAGAGGAAGGAGAGCTGAGACTCTGTGAATCATTTGGAGTCCAATCAAACAACTGGCCGATGCTTCCAGACTTGTAAAAGAAAGAATGAAAAAAGCTTGGGCCTTGTTCTTCAAACTATCAGGATGACCCCCGAGGGCCCTAGAGCTGTCAGTAAGTGTCTGCAGTGCCATAAGGAAATATACAAATAAGAAAGAAAAAAAATTCCTTAGTTCAATCTTAATGTTTTTCAGGAAGATTGAAAGGCAACCAGATCGGTCCCGTCGACTTCAGCAATATCTGATGCACATAGCAGTGAGCTTTATCCATCCAACAGGTACACGAAGAAAAATTAGGGTATTTTCTGTCCATAAATTTCTGTACATTTAAAACTGATGGATGCATCATTGTGGACAGCAAGCCTACAATTTTTATTTATTCACTGTCAATGTGTGGTTACTTTTTAGCACCGTAACGTTTGCCTTTAGTCTTGAATGAGGAGAAAAGCCTGTTTATGATGCTCCTAGAAGTACTGATTCCGATATGCAAGCCAGAACCAATAAGTATCAATAAAACCTATTTCTTTACTGTGATTCTATTTCTTTATGTTGCATGCAATAAATATCTTTAAACGTTGTGTTTTGACTTTAGGTTTTATGTGCTACTGTATACATAGTATCTAGAGAAGTACAAATACATGTATGACTATGTTTTGACTTGCGCACATGTTCGACTTGCAAATGTTCTTGGGAGTGGAACTCATTTGTAAGTTGGGGTCCACTTGTACACCTACAATAAATAACTTTTAAAAAAACTTCTGAAGACGGAAGTATTAAAAGGATCAAGTGACAAAATCAAAATGAAATGACATTCAAGTTTCATTTTCATAAACCTGCTAAATCTTTGGAGCTGAAAGTTTGAGAACCAGTCAAAGTCCAGACATTCAGTGCTGTCAATAATAGCCCACTTGGGGCCTGTGTATAAAAGTTATTACCTGTTGTATAAACTGAGAGACTAAATATGTCGTTGTCATTGGAGGCACATATGCAACTGGAGAAGCTGCTCCTTCGTAGACAGCTAATGAGGAAGATGTGCTTTCACAAACTACACAAGGGCCTGAATGACCATTAGTTCCAGAGGTCAGCTATTCCCTACTAAAAGCAAAGGATCAGCAGCAACATGCACCATGACCACAACATTTGAGAGGCAAACCCCTCCCCCGCCAGGAGCAAGTGGACATCAGACCAACAGCCAATAACCATCTACGCACGTACCATTAGATGATGTAAGCGCTTTGAACACTGGGCAGAATACAAAGGAAAAAAACACATCCTGATGAAGTATAATGTTTTACATTATAGATCATAAATATGCTTGACTTGTAACTTCAAATTATACTACATGCAAGGTTTTACTTTTTATGAAAGAGTTGTTTGGAGCAGTGCGATTCAACATTGTGGCTTGCCATAATCACAGAAGCTTGACAGCAGAAGCCACTTCATCCATCACTTGAGCAGGTTTAGGAATGGAGAGCTTGGCAAAAGGTTGCAGAGTTGGAGGAGGTGGGATGTGAATGAAAATGTTAATACTGATATAATCTTGCATTCTCTTTTGCAAATTAATTTTAATAACAGAATCTTTCCCAAGTTTGTCATCTTTTAACATGTGACAAGTGTCTCTTGAAGCCAAATTACTATAAACTGTAGAGGGGTTCCCTGATTTATGAAGACTGACTTACGAGCGCTCATACTTAGGAACACGATCCCATATAATGGTGGGTAATTTTAAAGACCTGACATGCAAACATTTTTGAGATAACAAGGTGTAGAGCTGGATGAACATAGCAGGCCGAACAGCATCAGAGGAGCAGGAAAGCTGACGTTTCGGGCCTAGGCCCTTCTTTAGGTCCGAAACGTCAGCTTTCCTGCTCCTCTGCTGCTTGGCCTGCTGTGTTCATCCAGTTCTACACCTTGTTATCTCAGATTCTCCAGCATCTGCAGTTCCTACTATCTCTGATACAAACATTTTTTTTTCCTTATGAATAGCTGCTTTTATTTTGTCCTGTGTTGTGTCTGACTTGTGTACAAATCGACTTGCAAATGGAACCTATTCACAACCTGGGGACTGCCTGTGGCAGGAAACTTTATAGTTTATCTTTTTCCCCAATTGTTTGACTTCTCCCAACATCTAACCTGTTTGATGGCTGTGCTGAAATTGAAAGCTGTGCTGCTAAGGGAAGAAAGGGGTAGGATTTAATCATCACTACCACTCTTTCTTCCTACTTCTAAGACTGTTTGGATAGAATGATATTATCGGCAAGAGCAATGTGATACTTGTATAGAGGGAAAAATATTTTTTCTCAACTCTTTAGATTGAAGTTATTTTTTGGTTTGTATATTCTTGCTCAAAATGTCACTCTGGAAGGAGACTTATTTATTCTAACAAAACAAAAGACATTTCATCTAAATGTCAAGACCTATTTTGGGGGCTACTTTCATTGTGATCTTCATATGTTTTCACAGTTGGCTTTGAATTTTGGAAGCAGCTTTGTGCAGAACATGGTATCAGTCCTGAAGGAATTGTTGAAGAATTTGCCACTGAGGGTACTGACAGGAAGGATGTCTTCTTCTACCAGGTAGACTACGCATCACCTTCTAACTATATGCCATGTAAAAACCAAAGGATTCGTTTTTGGTGATCTTTACTGTATCAGCATCATTCTCTTCTCTTTAATGCACGGTCAACTCTGATCCCCTGAAAACATTATTCTTGGCTTCTCCTATTTCTCACGCACATGCTACTCCTTGGCAACTTTGTATCAGGTTGTTCATGTATGTTGACAACTCCAAACGCAACTTCACTACTTCCTCATGTCCACCGGTGTCTTTAAATCGTCAGAAGACCTACATGACATCCAGTGCTGTGCGAGCAGAAATTTCCCCCATTAGAAATGTTGGGGAAAACTGAAGTTATTGCCCTTGCCAAACACACTGTTCCCTCACCTCTGACTCCATTCCCAGCAGCAGGGAAGATGGTGGCATAGTATTAATGTTACAGGACCCAAAATCCAGAGACCCGTGCTTATTCTCTGGGATCATGGGTTCTATTCCTGTTATGGGGTTTAAATTTAGTTAATGAAGTCTGCAATATATAAGAGTTTCTGAAACCATCATAATTTGTTGTAAAATCTCATCTAGTTTACTAATGTCCTTTCCTGGTCTGGCCTAAATAGAACTCTGGAGCCACAACAACATTATTGACTCTTAACTGTCCTGTGAAATGACCTAGCAAGCTACTTAATTCTAGGGCAATTAGGGTTGGGCAACAAATGTCAGTAATTCCCATGTCCCATGAAAGAATAAACAAAAATGATTTGAAGTTGTACCAGAGTTGTTTCAATCATGTATCCGTGCTCTTGCTGAGGCCATCTATTCTCATATTCATTGCATCATTTGATTCTACCTTGCTTCACTTCTTTTGCTGAAAATCTCCAGACTAGAGTATTCCAAAACAACGATGGCTGGTTTCCCACATTCCATTCTCCATAAACTTAAAGATGTCCAATACTCCACCTGTGTCTTCAATCAGACCAAATTCCATTTGCCCATCGCCTCTGTGCTTGCTGATCTAAATTGACTCCTTCTTGGTTAAACAACACCTTGATTTAAAAATCATTATCTTTTTTGTTTACAAGTCCCACCATAGGTGTACTTGCCCCTCCTTATTTCTGGACCAATCAAGGTGAATGAATCAATGATTGTTGAATATCAAGGGGTGTTTGTGTCCCTGTTGTTGGAGATTGCCGTTGCCTGATGCTTGTGTGACATGAATGAGTATGGACTCCATTAATATCTGAGAAGTTGCGAATGGGACTGTACACTTGTGAAATCTTCAACAAACCTCCCCACTTCTGATCTTATGATGGAGGGTTTGTAATTAATAAAATTGCTAAAAATGGTTGGGCTTAAGATCCATCACAGCTAAGTACTGTGTTTTATTAATAAGGGTATGTTCCCTGATGCAATAACAGCCAGTACATCTATTTATATAGAGATAGCAAGAACTGCAGATGCTGGAGTCAGAGACAACACAACACAATGTGGAGCTGGAGGAACACAGCAGGCAGGCAGCATCAGAGGAGCAAGAAAGTTGACGTTTTGGGTTGGGACCCTTCTTCAGCAAATTTATATAGGGCCTTTTCCACAGTAAACATGAGGTACTTCACAGCAATGTTATCCAAACAACATAGGTAGATATTAGAGCATTGACCAAACACTTGCTGAAAGAAGTCAGTTTTTAATACCATTTTAAGAGAAGAGAGATGCTGGTGATGGAATAATGAAAATTAGGCACATAACAGACTAGAACTGGAGTAACACAAAGATATTTGAGGATTGTAAAGCTGTACTTCTTATCACAACATTTATTGCCCATCTATAATTGCCCGTGGGGAGCTGCCTCCTTGAAATGTTGTGATCCATTCACTGTAGGTAGACCCATAATGCTATTTGGTAGGGAATTCCAGGATTTAGACACCGTGACATTGTAGGAATGGTGATATATTTCCAGGTCAGGATGGTGAGTGCATTAGAAGAGAACTTGCAGACGGTGGTATTCCTATGTATCTGCTGCCCTTGTCCTCCTAGATGACGTTAGTTATTGGTTTCAAAGGGGCTGTGTAAGGAGCCTTGGTGAAAGGGGTAAGATCAATGAAAAGACTTGAAAATGAGGAGAATTTTTAATTCTATAACAGCAATGTTGGTGTACCTGCATCAAATAGGTTGCGAGTTGCTCAACTGACTTGAGGGCAATTAGAAATGAACAATAAATCCTGGCCTTTAGAAATGTTATTCAGACCACCCTAAGAGTTATGACCGCAGGATAGATAGATGGCAATAAGATGCCAATCAGGCATAATCTAATTGAACAACCGAAGCAACACGACAGTCTGAGTAATTTATTGAGTGTCTGTGTGTCCTGTGATGACACTGAGCCTTATGCCTGTAAAATGGTTGGGGCAGATTTGTTCAGGTTACCTTCCTGCAAAATAACTTTACTGTTCGTGGATTTAGTTTACCAGTTAATGAGATTTTATTTAGTCATTATGATTTTGATTCTACAGAACAATCTTCGTCCAGTTTTCTAATTCTGAACAAAGTAGAATTCAAATAGAAGATTTGAATTGAATGATGGCAGGTCAGGTAATATCTGTGGAGGAAGAGAGAGAGTTAACTTTTTTAATCAGAACATCATTTAGCCAGGTGGATACACTTACCCAGACTGTTTGTTTTTTTTTTAGTTAGATTTCTTTTAGTTGTGAAGTAGTATTCAGTAAAAATTGGACAGTTAAACTGTAAAAGCAATGGTTTCTAATACCCAGCTCAATCTTATAAATGGGATAGAATGCTTTTAAAGATGAAGAATGCAAAAGTGTAATCCAATGCTTAAATTGCAAAGCCTGCATTTAAAATGCTCTGAGATACATTTATGCATTAATCAATGCTACTACTGCGAGGAAGTGAGAAATTATGAAAACAGTGCTGGAGAAATTCAAAATGACTGGCAGCATCTATAGAGAGAGAAAAACGGTATTTCAAGTCCAAATGTGTATCTCCTTTGTTGAAGAGTCATATTGGACTCAAAGCATTAACTCTTATTTCTTTCTCCACAGATTATCTTGGGTCTCCAGCATCTACAGTATTTTCCTTTCATTTTGGTAAAATTGTTAAATGTTGATGAAGTGTGGAGAATTTGTCAGGAGAGGGTGCTGTAGAACATGCTTTCTTTTTTGCAGTCTGTCAGGTTTTCCAGTGGCTTTTTACCATTCACGCAAAGGTGCTGGTCCATATATATATGTTTAACCCTTGATAATTAAAATTTTAATAGCTAAATCTCCATGCCTGTGGTTGAGAAATCTGATTTGTGGTATTTAGTTTTTTGGCTTATAAAGCAGTGATAAACTATTTTAGTCATGACTTACTTTGTTCTCACAGTCAGTAATCCAGGAAAAATTGTTCACATTTTCAAAAGTGATTTTTGCTCAGTATTCACTCAAGCTCATTATTATATTGGTGAATGTGAACATTTTTTTTATGAACTACCCATGAATTCAGGCAGCTTTTTTAGATTGCAATTTTATAGTCAAATCTTTGCCTTCAAAATGTCAAGATATTTGAGTAGTAAACTAGAGTATTTTCATTAGTGCAACTAAAAATGAATTTATTGTCATTGAATGTTTCATCTGTCTTGTTTATTGCGTGATTTTGAATACTGAAAGATGTTGAATTAAACAGTCATTTTAATAATTACATTAGGTACTTTGTTAGTAAATTTGAAGAAAATTTAAAGTTTTAAAACATGCCCTTCTAACCTTGTGCCTGAAATAAGCTATTTAATTTTAAGAGCCTCCTCAAAGGACCACAAATGGGCACAGTTAGTGAAATTTTCCATGGCAATTAATGCAATTTCGGAGTGGTTCTCTTTCGTGAATAGGGCTAGCTTCCAGAACAATGTTTCCCAGATCATTTCAGAGACTCAAGCGTCCTGACCCAAAACGTCAACTTTCCTGCTCCTCTGTGCTGCCTGGCCTGCTCTGTTCCTCCAGCTCCACACTGTTACACATATAGCTCATACTTTTTTTGGCATAAATCAACAGCTGGAACCTGTTTGTAAACTCACTAGGGTCCTTTGACACTCCGAGTTGTCACAGAATATAAAAGCTAATACCTGAGCAGGATAGCTGCTGATGCTGACAAGGACTGACGCTGGCCAGGTATTGTGTTCCTTTTCAATGTCGTCACCACATTCTTGACATAGGGTTCACTACCGCAAAGGTTAGTCTCTGGTGTTTTGGTTGGCTTCGCACCCGAGTCTGCGGAGTTTTCACGTGCTCCATGCCTGAGAGTTGTCATCTTATCTCTTTCCTTATCTCTTCTGAGCTGTGCGGTCTCATCCCCGTTGGCTCAGGCTTGTTCACTCATCGCATGCCTTTACCTTATTGGCCCAGGTCCCAGGACCTAAGTAGAACTATGATTAGCACATAGGGCAGAGCAACCTGCCAGATTTTCTTGTGCTGCTGCACCATTTTGGCTATCATGCATTTCAATGTCCGATTCATCCTTTCCACAATTCCACTAGACTGCAGTCTATAAAGTATGTGAAATTTCTGTCTGATCCCAAAAAGGGTCATTACATTTTGCATTACTTGGGCCATAAAATATGTTCCCTGGTCTGATTCTATGTTTCAGGGTATACCGCAATGAGTGAACACCCTCTCTAACAGAATTTTTGCAGTAATTCTGACTGTGTTTGTTGTGGTTGGGAAAGCTTCTGTCCATTTAACAAAGGTATCCACTAGTACCAGAATGTGCTTGTATCCTCCTGGCGTGGGGAGGTAGGAGTCCTATGTAGTCTATTTGTAAATTATTCCAAGGCCCTTTACTGGTCTAATATGTTGGAGGGCCCCTTTCTTAATATTTCTATTGGAGTTATGTTGTGCACAGGTCAAACAATTCTTGACATAGTGTTCCACGTCACCTTTTCATTCCGGGCCACCAGGACCCCTCCTTTATCTTTTCCAGCCTATTCTCTGTCCCTGTATGCCCCCATAAGTCCTTCACATAAAACTACTCCATCCTGAACGTACACCCCTTGTGTTCTTTATATGTTTTTGACTCTGCTCCTTCTATTAGTTTTTTCAATTCTCTGTCTTTCTTTGCTCCTCTGTTAAATCCATTACCTCAACTAGTTTCTCCTTCTGGCCCTTGACTTCTTCAATCGGTAGCCACCGTTTCTGCCCTTTTACAGCAACTTGTTTGGCTAGATCATCAGCCTTCCTGTTCCCCTCGGGCAATAGTTATGAATGAACTTTTACCTTCATGCCTCTAAATCATTTCTCCTGTGCTCCTTCAAAGATGTATTGTAACAGTGGGGCCGATGGAAAGGGCTTCCCATCCACTGAGTCAAATCCTCTCACTTCCCATAGGGGCAAATATTCCATGAGGCTATTACAGACATACATGCTATCAGAATATATAACTGATCTGGGCAAAAATTGTTCTGGGTGGCTCACCACATATGCAACGGCTGCTAATTCTGCTGCCTGCGCACTCATGGTTTTAGGTCATTTCAGAGCCACGCTATATCATTCCTGTACGTTTTCTTCATCCATGTATATCCCGCACGCAGTTCTTCTTTCTCCTTCCTGTACTAATTAAGAACCATCCACAAAAATTTTGAAATGGGGTTCTTCCTTTCCTTTTTTCCTTTGCCTCTCTGCTTTCAGGCCCTTTCTTACCCCCTCCCATTTGTTTTGGTACAAATGGGCCCTTGGGATCATTCGCTATTGTCAACTGACACTTGTGTTTTCCTCCCTGATATACTAAGTTGTCTGCCAACATGGTGGCTCCTTTTACCCCTTTCACAGTGATATTCCTTCCCTGTAGCAATAGTATCCATCTAGCGATTCTATTTTGGCTAAATGAACCTTCTTTAAATCCTTCCGTCTAATAGTAGCTATATGGGGGCACGTCCTGTTAGTATTGTGAGTGGGTTCAGCCCCACTATGTAGCCAAAATGCTGCACTACCCAGAAAACAGCTAGCAAATGGTTTTCGTATGGAGTGTACCCCTGCTGTACCGGTGAGAGCATGTGTGAGGCATATTCTAATGGTCTTAATTTCCCGTGGGTCTCTTGTAGCAGAACTGCCAAGAGGGTGGTGTCTGTGGTGGCCGCTTTCAGTGAAAACGGTTCAGTTGGATTTGGGGTTTTCAGAGCGGGTGCGGCAGCTAGTGCTTGCTTCAGAGCTGTAATGGCCTGTGAGTGTTCCAATTTCCTCATCCAGGCCACATTCTCTTTTTCAATAATCCTATTAGTGTGGGCACTTTTGTAGTGAATCCATCAATGTGGTCCCTGCGATATCCCACTAAGCCCAGGAAAGATCTCATCCCATGGAACATGGAGTCTGCCAATCGCCTCTACGCTTCGTTAGTCAATTTCTCTTTTCCCCAGTGACAGAATCATTCCCTAGTAAGTAACTTTCTGCTTCATTATCTGCACTTTCTTAGAACATAAGAACTAGGAGCAGGAGTAGGCCATCCGGCCCCTTGAACCTGCCTTGCCATTCAATAAGATCACGGCTGATCTTTTTGAGACTCAGCTCCACTTACCCGTCTGCACACTATAACCCTTAATTTCTTTACTGTTCCAAAATTTATCTAGCCTTGCCTTAAACACATTCAGCGAGGTAGCTTCAACTGCTTCACTGGGCAGGCAATTCCACAGATTCACAACCCTTTGGGTGAAGAAGTTCCTCCTGACCTCAGTCCTACATCTGCTTCCCTTTATTTTGAGGCTATGCCCCCAGTCCTAGTTTCACCTGCTAGTGGAAACAACCTCCCTGCCTCCAACTTATCTATTCCCTTCATTATCTTATTTTTCTATAAGTTCTCCCCTCATTCTTCTGAATTCCAATGAGAATTCCAATTAGGGTTTACTTTCAGACCCAACTCATGCAACAATTGCAGTAATTCAGTTAACAGCTGATAATGTTCCTCTTTAGTTTCAGTTTGTAGAAGCAAGTCATCTACATACTGCACCAGACTTTCAGGTTTCGAGAACTGTTTTAACCCTTCCCTTAGACATTGGTGAAATATGGATGGGGAATTATGAAATCCCTTTGGCAGTGCGGTCCACGTATATTGCTGATCTTGGAAAGTGAACATGAATTTATATTGGCACTCTTTTTCTACAATGGGGTTGACCAAAATCGGTTACTTGTCTCCAAAACCGTGAACCACAGCACATCCTCATTTTGCTTAAGTACTGTCACTGGGCTAATTGCTACGGTAGGGGACTGTTAACTGGATGGCTTTGTTCAGTGCTCTATAGTCTATCATTAGTCACCAGCTATCATCTGGTTCTGTCACCGGCCAAATGGGTGAGTTATTAGTGGAAGTTTCTGGTCTCACTATCTCTTGTCGCAGCAAACTCAACATCACCTTCCCTGCCTCTTCTGTCTGGTTCGGAAAACCATACTGCTTCTGCAGTTTGGGGTCTGGACTCTGTGTAGACACACTCCTGGCTGTTCTGCCGCTGTCATGTTTATGTCGAATAAATACTGTTGACTGCCTTACAACGATTTGTAGCACTTCAAATCGTCACTCATCTCCCCTGGTTTTGTACACGTTTCCCCGACCATGCATATCCTGTCCTGATACTCCCCCACCGGGACGAGTGTGCAGTTTACACTATGCATGCCTATAGGCATTTGCCAAATCATGCAGTTAGTGGGATCAAAATAGAGTCCCGCTCTGGCCATATAGTCTCTGCCTAAGACATGTTCTTGTTATATCTAGGTAATTTAGTAAGGACTACTGAATGCTTTAATACTACTCTTCCCACACTAACCTCCAATGGTACACTCCTATGTCCCACTTGTGAATGGCCCGTGAATCCGCTTAGAACAATGTTACTTTGAATGTTCCAATCTGCGTCGTTGATCTGGGTAGTATTAACGGTTGTTCGGGATCCCCCAGTGTCCCGAAGGAATGTAATAGGGCGGCCTCCGACCCTACCATTCACTAGGGGTCTCCCTGTTTTATCCCACCGCAGATCATGTACCCATGATGGAGAGGCATGTGACCATCTTTGAAGTTTGGAGTACATCCCTGAAACAGTATATCTGTCATATTCCTCTTGCCTACAATTGTAGCACAT